CAAAGAACTAATAGGTATGGGTGTCCTTCATAGCTTCGTGAGTGGGTAAGGGAAATGAAAGTTGGTGTTAGACTCTATTAAAAGTCAGATCTTGATACCAATGGAGTCAGATCTCACCCTGGGGATGCAGCAAGCTCCAGAACATTCTAGAACATTGCATCAGGAGAACTGATCTAATGAGACCTCAGTTGTGGTCGTACTGAAACACAGAGTTGAGAGCAGACACCCAGAATCCCACATACCCCTGCCTCCCTCGCTCTGTGTTTAAAACAGTTTGTTCTGTCTTCTGCAGAGCAGTGAGCTTGGGGAGGGAACTGCTTCTGCTTCAGCACCGAAGTGGGTGTCTGAAATCTGTTCCTCTCCCCCGGCTGCACACTGCCGAGGAAGCCGGTGCCAGAGGTGGTCGAGACTCATCTGTAGAATCTGAAAAGCACAGGCTGAGTGGTGGCAGGAGGAGGTGAGGGAAGGAGGGACAGCCTCTGCTATCCAGACAGGAAGCAGGAAGAATGTTCTGGGCCTTGAAAGAAAGGGCCATTTGGCATGTCAGATGCCAGACCCTGGGAGTATGGCCAAATTCCCCCGTCACCTCCTGCCAGTCCATAAAACCACCTTAGAAAAACTCAAAGCTAAATGTGAGCTTCCTCAGTGCCGTGCTGTGAAATTATGTTTTGGAAATACCTCTTGCTTCCACCCCTCTGAGGGGTGTAGGATGCCTCTGGCCCACGATGGTTTTGGAAGTTAAAGTTTCAGATGCCAATGGAAATGAAAGTGGTGTAGGGTAGCTGCATGAGGTCCATGAAGGACATTAGTGATGGTTTCTCTCCGAAGCATGATTCATCACTGCGAGGAAAGACAGTCCCTTCTCCTCTTCATGCAGCCTCCTTGGGCTCAGAATGACTGGGCTGGTTTGTGGAGGGGAGGGGGGATGTGAAACTAGCATGTCAGGAGACCGGGAGATTCCAGTTTCTGAAATAGGATGAAAGTCTCCTTAAGTTTCCGGAGGTGTCCATGTGGTCTGCAGGACTGAGGACGTGAAGAGGAGCTCCCTCCTCTTGGAGCCAGAAATGGGTAGATGAGCTTTTTGATCTTACCAGTTCATCCCATCCTAACAGCAGTCCCATGGAATGGTGCTCACTATTCGCATTTTATAGGCAAAGAAACTCAGATTCAGAAAGTTTAAGTAGTTACCCACTGCCACGTGGCTAGTTGACAAAGAGCCAGGACATGGACTCAGGTTGGATAGACTGCAGATCCCATGCTATTTCAGTTATAAAGTTTGGTGTGCATAAAGGGGTAGGCTAGAGAGTCTGGACTTAATGTGATAGGTCAAAGGGAGCCATTGATGACTATGGAGGGGAGGAGTGGTATGGTTAAGGCAGTGTTTTAGGAATGTCAATCAGGCAGCCATCGACAGGGTGAATTGTTGAGATGCTCAAGTCCAGAGGGTGAATTACCTCTTTCGGGGGCAGGTAGCATAAGTCCCTAATGTGAGACACTGAGACTCCTGACCCGTGGGGAATAATCCATCAGGGATGTACATTTGTTGAGCACTTGATATGTGGTGGCTACTGGATGCTTTTCTACAGGGAGAGCCTGAGTGTGTTTCTTCATTTGTAAAATGGGGATGATACCAATTTAGGAAGGCAGTCGGGCATGAGATTAAAGAAGATGCTCCATAGAAAGTGTTGAGCCACGTGACTGTCACCCAGTGAGTAGTTCTGGCATGTCGGCCAGTATAAATATCACCATTGCCATACCATTGTACAGACGTGGAAACTGAGGCGTGGAAGGGTTAAGTGGTTTTTCCTAGGGTCTCGCAATCAGAGTTGGTACCTGGGCAGTCTGACCCCAGAAGTTACACTGTTTCCATCCTTGGGAGAAGATATTCATGGGGTTCAGAAGAGGGCAAGAGGAGAAATTCATCTTGGGCTAAAGTCTTGCAAGATGGGGGAGTGGGGCTGGCGTAAGGCAAGGGGTTTGCACACTCTTAAACAGATGACCTGTGCCAACAAGCTCTTGGCCAATGAACTGCTACTGCTATGATCATCTTTCTCCTTCGTGAAGTTCACAATGCAGCCGTGCCGTCCTCTATACATGGTGAGCCCGAAGAGGTTGCATTTGCTTACAACTCTGCTCTGTGCACAGAGCTGCTCATGGATTCACTGGTGATGTCCAGATCATGGTACATAGATGAAGGGGCGTGTTGGGGCATGTTGGGACATGTTGGGGCAAGTGTTGGGGCATCCCAACGCCACCAACTGCCACATCTAGCGTGTTTGACCTCCACCTCTCCACCAATACCAATTATCCCCAGGAAGTGTGTGTGCGGGGGTTGTCTCAGAGACGGTTCTTGTTGGGTTCCACCTGTGCTCCTAGCACATGTCCTCCTGAGAACTTTCTTTGTCCGCGTGTGATCAGGGCCGGAAGATGCTGATCTCAGTGCCTTTTGCAGTCATAATGTAACTCTGGCGACCAGCTTCTTCAGAGGCATCTTTGCTCTGTGGGAATTATTACATCACTTCTGTAATTAAGTTTGGAACTTTTTAATTCCATCCCAAGATGCACCTGGCAATGCAGGAGCTTGATGAATATGACTGCCTTGAGACTTCACTTCCGCGTGGATTCTTTATGTTGTTGCTTCTTTTTGGTATTTAATGAGATTGTATGGACAGCTGTTGAGGCTTATTGGCCTTCTATCTTCTCCTTCTTCTTGCTCAATATATTTGGGAATTGGATGGTTCCTTGGATGGTATGGGATGACGTTGAAAGTTTTTATTTTTTGGACATGACTTTTGAGAGTTAGAAGACAATCTCAGACGTGGAATTCTCCTCTTTCATTTTAAACCAGGGGCCTCCCTCTTAGGCTTCGTTCGCACATCCATTCACTCAGGCATTTCCTCATCCCCCGTTTACTGATGTGTCCTGTGCCAAGCTTCTGTCAGCTTCTGGGGACAGAAAGAGGAGGACAGCAACATCTCTGCCCTTGAGCAATTCAGAGTCTTGTTGAAGCGTGATTTAAAATGATTAGTCAATCCCAGAATATTGGATTTCTCCAAAAGCTACTGTAGGGGAAAAGGTAATTATACAGAGTCTTTAATCTGTTACCCACTTTAATTGATTTAACTTAATTGATTTAATTGATTTAATAGAACAGTAATGTTGGAAGGGGCCCAGAAGGGATTTAGTCCTACTTTTTCTCTTTCCCTTCAGGTCACACTGCACTCGAATTATCCCCCAGACCCATGCATTTTAGAAAAGGGGACTATTTTGAAGAACTAGCACTTTTGGCCCATTCGGTAAAAATGTTCTGTTTGGTGAACACCCACAGAAAAATGAGGTAGACTTGTTGAAAGAGTTGACAAGCACAGCTACAAAGTATTTTTCTGAAAGACATGAATAGAATCATCCACTCTTAACACACACACACACACACAAAATGGAATCCCCATATTCATACTTTTGAGGTTGTGTTCACTGCACGTGGCCAATACAGCATGCAAAATGAAAGCATGGATGCAATATGATAAGCACTGTTTGAGAATTCTTCCAGTTCCCAGACAAAAAAATATATCTCAGCATTTGTCAGTCCTGTCTTGCTCTAACACAGAGGCTTACCTTCTGTTTAGTTGGCATTTTTGCACCATGCCAATCATTCGACAACATGGTTGAAGCATCTGCTATGTGCGGATCTTAGTGATTCCCAAGAAGGCTGTGGTTGTGGCTTGTAAAGGGAGCTGGATGTGAAATCAGAGACTGAGTTCGGATGCTTGCTAGCCTATGTGATCATTTTGAGCCTCATTTTCCCCTGCCAACAATACCAGCTTCATAGGATCATCGTGGGGATTTGACGAGTTAAGGGGTCTGAGGGTAGTTTGTAAATTAAACAGCTGTAGCATCGCCTGCCTTTTTCAAATGGATTCTTGTGATCAGATCACAGACTCGGGGAGACATCAGGTCTGCTAGAGGCCCTTTAACCCAACACAAACTACCATGTCACTTTCCAGTTTAAGAGGCTCCCCCTTATGCTTAGAATAAGGTTTAAGCCTCTGAACATAGTCTCTGATGCCATACACGACAGGGTTCCTGCCAAGCCTTTCAACATCGTCTTATCCCCTACTTCGTGAGCCATGATGCGCTCATCTTCAGTTCCTGGAATAGTCAGGATGCATCCTCAGCGCTCCCCTGACTGTAGTGTCCCCCCATTACCGCTCTTCTGTACCTGGATACTCCTTCAACACCCTCTTCTGCCGCTCTCAGCTCCCAGTCCATGGAAGTTGCTCTTCCTCAAATTCCTGCCAGATCTATGAAGGCAGAGACCATGTCTGTCTGCCTTGTGTATCATCACTTCTCCAGGCTCTAAAGTGTTATTGCCACATAATTAGGTGTTCAACAAATATTTGTTGATTGAACAGCTAGATGTCCACCTAGCATTTATTATACTTTATATTACACAGGAGTCTAGAGTTCAAGTGACAGAAATCCTACTCACGTGGCCTCAAGTGAAAATGGGAACTTCTTGGCTTACATAACCAACAGGTCCAGAGTAAATGGCTTCAGGTACGGCAGAGTCCAGGTGCTCAAGTATGTCATCAGGAATATGTCTCTATAATCTGATGTTTTGTCTCTGTTGGCTTCATTTTCCAGTCATGCACCTGGGGGCCAGATAGAGTTCATTCTGTTGGAACCATATAGACTCAGTGGGAAGGGATGGGATGAACTAGAGGAGGATAGATGATGGGCTGGCGAAAATAACAGATGTCCTTCCCTGTACCAGGCTGTGGGCTCCATGTTCAGGGGCCTCTCTCATCTTTGTCTTTCCAGCATCTCTTCCAGAGCGTGGCATATAGTGGGTGCTCAGGAATGTTTGAGAATGAATAGATGTGTGATTTATTTCCCCTCATTTCTAGGAAGGAGCTTCTTTAAGCCTAAAAAGACAGATGGTTCTATAAAAACTTCCTTCTGCCTCATCCTCAGTTTTGCTTTTTTTTACCTCTTGGCAGGATCCGACCTCTACCTTCTTCCAGTTTGGAGCGTCCATCCAGCAACAAGCCACAGTCATGCTGAAGATCATGCAGGATTACGACTGGCATGTCTTCTCCCTGGTGACCACCGTCTTCCCTGGCTACAGGGATTTCATCAGCTTCATCAAGACAACAGTGGACAACAGCTTTGTGGGCTGGGACATGCAGAACGTGATCACCCTGGACACTTCCTTCGAGGACGCAAAGACGCAAGTCCAGTTGAAGAAGATTCACTCTTCTGTCATCTTGCTCTACTGTTCCAAAGATGAGGCCGTTCTCATCCTGAGTGAGGCCCGCTCCCTTGGCCTCACCGGGTATGATTTCTTCTGGATTGTCCCCAGCTTGGTCTCTGGGAACACAGAGCTCATCCCCAAAGAGTTTCCATCGGGACTCATTTCAGTCTCCTATGATGACTGGGACTACAGCCTGGAGGCGAGAGTGAGGGACGGCCTGGGTATCCTGACCACCGCCGCGTCTTCCATGTTGGAGAGATTCTCTTACATTCCGGAGGCCAAGGCCAGCTGCTACGGGCAGACGGAGAGGCCAGAGGCCCCGCAGCACACTCTGCACCAGTAAGAGGGCTCTTTGCTTGTCTCCCAAAATGGGATCAGCTTTGTTGTTGTTTGTTAGTTTAAATACTAAGAGCAATGCATACCCATTGCTGAAAATGTACACTGAAAATAGAGAATGTTGTGTGTGTGCTTATGAGATTTTTTTTTCGGTTCTGCTCTCCTCTCTCCTCTTCCTCTCTTCTCGTCTCTTTTTGTTTTTAAGTAGTATGCTTTGTTTTATGAAACTTACTTTTTGTACTCAACAATATATCTTGGAAACCTGCATTTGAGATCTATCCGTCTATCTATCTATCCATTCTCTATCCATAGCTATATCTCAAGTATGTTTGTATACATGCAGACATACATGTATTTATATGTATGTGCATACATGCGTATGAACACACATGCACACACATGTGTGAATATATGTAGAATTATGCGTGTATATGTAGATATATGTGTGTAAGTGCATACATAGAGAGATATATATGAATATCCATATTCTGTGTAACTTACGCATTGCATTTCTCAATAGGGATAAACCATGATTTATTTATCCAGTCTTGTTAATCACAAAAATTCAGATTGTTTCAGGTGTTTTTCCATTAGAAGCTGAACTGCATTGATAATCATCCTCCATGTCTCTTCATGCACATGAAGTATTTCTCTAACGTTGATTCTAAGAAGTAGAATTTGGGGGTCCTGGAACATGTGCGCTTTAAAATTTAAGTATCTATTGCCAAATTCTCCTCCAAAGTAACTATGGCAATTTATAGTCACACCAGCAGTTTATGAAATCACTCGACTTCCCACGTCCTCACTAACGTGTGACACTATGGGAAAACTGCTTACTCTGGGGCTCCTCATCTCTGTCTGAGTCTGTATCTGAATTTTTTCCCTTCTTATGTCCTCAGTATTTTTGTAGGTCATTGGAAATCTTGGCAAACATCACTTTTAAAGCTGCGTTATATTCCGTCGCATGGATGTACCATAATTTATTTAACTACTCCCGTCTCGGCAGACATTTAAGTTAAATTTTATGCTGCTGAGCAATGTCATTGTTCTTTGCGGGCTGTCATTATGGATCAGCTGTTGGGCCTTGGAGCGATCACTCCTACACCCGTTTGGCATGATTTTCACTTGATGTTTGCTGATTTAATCCGTGCTCATTCCTCAGACAACGAGCAGTGTAGCACGGTGATTAAGAGACTGGGCTCTCGCATTAGACTTGTCAGGGTTCACATCTTGTCTCAGCCACTTTCTCTGTGACTCGGACAGTCATTTTGCCTTTCTGGGCCTCAGTTGTCCATTGCACAGTGATGATAATAGTGCCTACTTTCTGGGCAGAGGTTCTCAAACTTGAGCATGCGTCAGAATCACTGGGAGAGCTTGGTAAAACACAGATTGTAGGCCCCACGCTCGGCCTCTGTTTCAGTAGGTCTGGGGTGGGCTCCGAGAATGTGCGATTTGGACAAGTTCCCGAGTGAGGCTGATGTGGCTGGTCTGGGGACCACACGTTGAGAATCAACATCCTAGGGGTTGTCATGAGTGTTAAATGAGGTGGTACATAAGAAGTGCTGCCTAGCAGAGGGCCTCGCACCTGTAACTATTTAGTGAGTGTCAGAAGCATCAGTGATGTTGTTTTTGGTCATTGGAAGTGACAGTTGGCAGACCAGGTTCATTAATTATCCGCAGAGTAACATGTCACGCTGAAACGTCTCTGGAAGGTTTTAGGACTTTGAATCTGCTACAGTTCAGGGATTATCTCTGGGCTGGAGCTATAGAGGTGTGTATGTGTGTGTACGTGTGTGTGTGTGTGTGTGATGGGGTAGACAGAATATGCCTTTCTACAATTGACATACATCTGAAAAATGAACTCTTGAATTAAGAAATCACGGTCCTTTGAAATTTTCCCCCTTCCTCTTTCCTCTCCCCGTCTTTAACGATCCTGTTGCTACATGGCCACTTTCAAGCATTTTAAATAATTGTCCAAATATCAGGCAGGAACCCAGATAAATCAGTATGAGACACGAGTGCCTCTTCCAGAGGCAGGATTGCTGCCAGCCGAAAGACAAGGCCTGGGCTAATGAATTCTTACTTCCCGTGAGAAGTGCCCTGCAGCTGGACTAGTCAGAGATGCATAATTTTGATGGGAACATAACTCAATTTTAGGAAAATTGAAATATAGTATATACAGGAAAAGGAATTTGAGAAGGATAAGTGTAAGACATTCAGATCTCTTGCAGTGCCCACCCAGAACCATTCTTTAAAAAAAAAAAAAATCCTATTGCTGTGAAATGCTGTTGAGCTGTTTCCAGGAGTTATGCTTTGAAGACAGCAATTTTGCAGATGGTATTTCAGCCCCAGAGAAGAAATGCAAGTGTGTTAAGTCATCATCCACTGCCTGGTGTTTAATGAAACATCTCTCCACCCATGGACCGCTGGTGGTGCCCCCCAGTGGGTGGGACTGGGATAACACTGCAAGCAGTGGGTCCCCCCCCCACACTTCCCCATCATAGTGTTTCTTAACTCCGCCCCCCAGAAAGGCAAGGACTGGGAGCTTGGAGAAAGCCCAAAGAAGGCAGTTTTTAAGAAAAAGATTAAGGGCATCATATCTCTTTATCCCCCATCCATCGCTGCTCCTATCCAACGGACCTTGCGCTAGCCCTCGGAATACATACAAGAATTAAGATATAACGTTGCTCCTCAAAGAATGTACAGTCTGATGAAGGTGGGGAAAATTTGTCTAAAGACAAACTCAGGCAACAAGAACTCTTTTTTTTAATATTGAAAAAAAAAGAAGAGTGCAAAAAACTACGGTCTGATACAACACCCGTCCCAATTCTCACCACAGAGAGCAAAAGTTAACATGTCACATTTGATTCAAAATTTTACAAGAAGGGGAATACCACTGATAATGTAGAAGTCCTGGTTATTCCTCTCTCCAGTCCCACTTTGCTCTCTTTCTCTCCATGGGAAGGAAAAGCACTATGATGAACTGGGTAGGTATCCAAATCCACGTGCGTATTTTGTACTTTCAAAATAGAGGTACGTGCAACCTGAGACCCAATGCACTGTTCTTTTTAATGTACATAAATGGTATCTAATGTGTTAGAATTTCCTTTACCTCACCCTGATGGTTCAAAATCCATCTATGGGGACACATGTGGTTCTAGCGTATTCATCTTGGTTGCTGTTTTGTATCCTGTGGTATAAGTGTTCTGTCTTTTATTTGATCATCACCCTTTGATGGACATTTAGGTTGCTGATGGTAAGGGGATCTTCCGTCTGGATAGCTGAAGGCAGAGAACAGGTGTCTCTGCGACCTCAGTTGGACTCGTTAGCTTGTTCCGTGGAAGCCCGGGACTCCAGAGTTAGGGCTTCTCACTTCAAGCTTTAAAAAGCTCCATTTCCAGCTGAATTAAAAAAATCTTATTTTGCAAAGCATCCAGTAAACAAATTGCTCTCGTTACTCCCACTGAGAGGATGCAAATAGCTTCGGAAGAGCTTCAGCTGAAGTCACACCTGATGGTTTCATGAGGCATTACTGGGGGGATGTGGGTCCAGCTTTAAGTAGTTGAACATGACATCTTGGGGCTACCTAGACATGTCCCTCGTGGTCCTCATGGACATTACTTATACTCTTGCACACAGAACATGTGTAGTTAGGATGCTGTCACAATGACCTATTGTCTACGATGCTGGACCTGGTACCAAGGACTGCCGGCTGAGGATGATGTGTCAATGATCTTACCGTGGACCTGTTTCTGTTCCTGGGATTTCAGGAAAAAACAAAGTGGGGGGAAGGGAAAAATGTTCTTTATGTCGAATCTTCCTAGTTTTACAGAAGGCACTTTGAAAAGAGCAGTCAGCATTTTCCGAAGTTCAAAAATAGCTCAGCTGTGTTATGTAACCTCCTGCTTGCTCTCGCAAAGTTATTAAACATCTGTTCCCTCGCCAAGCGTAGAGCGCATCACTGGCAACTTCCGGAGCTGTGAAGGTAAACCAGTACCTGTTCCGCTGGTACGGAACCCAGGCTGTTCTGTCCAGTTCTGTTCCAAGAATCTGTCCAGTTCACTGGCGGATGGGCCGCCTGGGAGTCCGCGTGGCATCGCGGTTAAGAGTGGGCGCTGGAGCCAAGACTGCCTGGTGTGAATCCCTCATCTGAACCCCCTTAGATCTAAGACGTTGGGCAAGTCGCTTAATTCCTCCACGTCTGCTCCCTCAGATATAGCATGGGGCTAAGAAAAATTTTGTCTCTTAGCCCAGAGGCTGGCATACGGAAAGCAGTCTATAAATGGTTACTATTATTGATAAAATATGTGTGTGCCTTATAGTCATCTCTTCTTACTGTAGCAGAATTAAATGAAAACATATATGTATAACACTTATATTGTACCTGGCAGGTAGTAGGCGTTTCACAAATAACTGTCAACTCATTATTGTCTTCTTGCTATTATTATAATGTAATGATGGTCGTCATCATTATTATTACTCTGATTTGTGCTTGTTATACTCAACCTATGCACAGGCAGGGAAGTGAGAAATGGCGTGTATTTCCATCTTGCTTCTTAATGACTGAATTCTGACTCTATGTCCTGTGGCTCCGTTTCAGTTAGAGGAGCAGGAGAAGTCCCTGCATTGGAAGTCACATAGAAGCGCTCAAGTCGATCTGTAGCACACACGAGTACGAAAAGAACAGCTTCCCCTGGGAGACTTATGAATTAGTATTGAAGGGAAGTTATTGGCCTTAATTGATGAGACCTGGCTCGACCACTTATGTGTTTTACATTAACTTCTTGATTTATGAGGTTGGGTTTCTGCTTTGAGAAGCAACAACATTGTAAATTATCACCCCGACAGGAAGGAGAATGGAAGAAAGATGTCTAAACGAGAGTGAGTTTAATTCATATTCAAGTTACATTAACACTTTTTTTCCATCTTCCTTTCTAAAATAACCACAGGAAATGTTTCTAGTTTAATGACCCATTAAGAGACTGCACTAAACTTGGTTGGCA